CTGCCAGCGCTGCCCTCCGCCCGCAGGCCAGGCCTTCGACCCCACCTACGTGATCGGCTGCGGGCCCTGCAACGTCATCGCCGACATCCTCTTCCGCCAGCGCTTCGGCTACGGCGACCCGACCAGCCTGCGGCTCATGCGCCTGTTCAACGAGAACTTCTACCTGCTCAGCACGCCCTGGCTGCAGGTGCGCGTGCCCGCCGCGGGGGGCGGGCGGGCGGGCGGGCGGCGGGCCGCTGAGACTGGGGACCGCGCCCTCTCTCTAGGTGTATAATAACTTCTCCAGTTACCTGCAATACCTGCCCGGGAGCCACAGAAAGGTGATGAGAAACGTGGCCGAAATCAAAGACTACGTCCTGGAAAGGGTGAAGGAGCACCGGGACTCGCTGGACCCCAGCTGCCCGCGGGACTTCACGGACTGCCTGCTGGCGGAGATGGACAAGGTGCTGCCGGGCGCCTGCCCACGGGCACCTCCAGACGGCCTGCCTGACTGTGTCGGCCAGGTTTACCCTGGCGGAGCCCGCACGTCAGCATGTGCGCCCCCAGTTGTGTGTGGCCACGAGGGGCCCCGGCCTCTAGGCACCCTTCATCTGAAGGTCCCTGGGGACCCCCATCCGGACACCGACACCCCACGTTTGCGGTCGCTGTGGCTCTGCGCAGGCAGTGAACAGCAGGCCTGATGCCCTGGGGGTCCCTGCCCCGCCCCGTCTCCCTGAGGCCCTGTGGGGCGGCCGGACCCACCGGCCTGGGAATTGGACTCGGACTCACCCAGCAGAGCAGGGCGGGGCCAGACGGGGCGGGGCCAGACGGGCGGGGCCAGACGGGCGGGGCCAGACGGGCGGGGCCAGACGGGCGGGGCCAGACGGGGCGGGGCCAGACGGGCGGGGCCAGACGGGCGGGGCCAGGCGGGCAGGGCCAGGCTTGTGCGGCTGCGCAGGGAGAGAGGGTCCTGAGGCCCCGCCCCTGGCGGCCGGACGGCCCCGGCTCTGCTCCTCAGCCCGCCACGGACCTCTGCTCTGACCCTGCAGGGGCAGCAACGCGGGGAGCCGGCCCACACGCTGGACAGCGTCGCAGTGACCGTGGCCGACCTCTTCTTCGCGGGCACGGAGACCACCAGCACCACCCTGCGCTACGGGCTCCTGATCCTCATGAAGTACCCGGAGGTTGAAGGTGGGTCGGCGGCCGGCGCGTGGCCTCGCACCTGGGCGGCCCGCCGGCGCCCCCCGGGGCCGACTGGCAGCAGGAGGGGGCGGGTGCTGGTGGGTCGCCCTTGGGGAGCAACTCGGGGTCTCACCAGACCCTCTGGGGAAAATGTGTGTTGGGAGGGGGCGAGGCCACTTGGAAGGGCCGTCCGGTGGGTCAGCCTGGCCTCTGGGCGGGCCGGGGGTGGCCGGGGCTGCGGCCCACCTGGCCACCCGCCTGGCGGGGAGAACAGGGGTCTGGAGGAGGAAGTGGGGGGACGCACCCCAAGGTGCCCGGGACCCGCTTTGCACCTTGCTGGGGCTTCTCCAGTGTGTGGGCCTGAGTCGGAGTGTTGGTATCTGGGGTGCCCCTGCAGAGGGGCCCCGAGCGGCCACGCGAGCAGCCCAAGTGCAGGGCCTGTCGGTGCCAGCTCCAGGGCAGAGGGAGGACCCGGGACAGAGCCCAGGCGGGGCCTCCTCCCTGGCTGGCCCGGCCCGCGGGACCTGCTGCCGCTGGCGACGGCTTCGCTCGGGCTGCCGGGTGGCGGGGTGCGGAGGCGGGGGGGCCGTGTGAGGGGCCTCCTGGAACTGGACGTGGCCCCTGCAGGTCAGACCTCGTCTCCCTGAACCCAAAGCCGCCGCTTTTCCAAGCCGCCGCCACGACCCTGGTGGGCCTGGGCTGCTGAGCAGGCGGGAATCGGGTGCCAGGAGGCCGCGCTGGGCCGGCACCGCCCACCCGCCCCTCCTGCTGCCCTCGCTGCCCGCTCACTGTCAGGGTGACCGCCGACGCTGGTCACTTTCCCCAGTGCACCTGTGCAGCTTTCTGCGCCAGGGACCTCAGGCTGCTCCCTGGGCAGAAGGAGCCTCAGAGCCCTGCTGGGGGGCGCTGGGGGCCCCTGGAAAGCCCACTGCCCCCTTCCTGCCGCCATTCTTGGCGTGAAGACAGGACTGGACAGGCTCTGACCACCAGGCCCCTCTACAAAGCCTCGCACAGAGGCGGGCGCGCCCGCTCCCTGCACTGCTGCCCAGAGGGCCGGGACACTGCTCTGAGCCGCTGGATGGCGCTGGACGGCTCAGAGTGGACCCGAGTCTGTCACATTCACCTCGGCAGAGAAGCTTCACGAAGAAATTGACAGGGTGATCGGGCCGAGCCGAGTCCCAGCCGTCAGGGACAGGCTGGACATGCCCTACATGGATGCGGTGGTGCACGAGATCCAGCGCTTCATCGACCTCATCCCCTCCAACCTGCCCCACGAAGCCATCCGGGACACGGTGTTCAGGGGCTACGTCATCCCCAAGGTCAGCCTCAGCGTGTGGGCCAGCGCCCCGGGGGGTGGCCGGCGGACGCCGCTGTGCAAGCCCCGCAGCCTCCTGAGGGTCTCAGAGTCCGCCGCCTGCACCCCCAGGGCACAATGGTGATCCCCACCCTGGACTCCCTCCTGTACGACAGCAAAGAGTTCCCTGACCCGGAGAGCTTTAAGCCCGAGCACTTTCTGAATGAGGACGGGAAGTTCAAGTACAGCGACCACTTCAAGGCCTTCTCCACGGGTGAGCGCGCCCACCCTCTCCCCCCGCACAGCCCCTGCACTGCGGACCCTGGGCCTCGCCGCCGCAGGCCGGTGTCCCGAGGTCAGGGGTCGGTCCCAGGCGACTTGGGGACACTGTCCCATGTAGCGGATAAGGCTGAGCGAGCGCGAATGTGCGAGTTGAATCCAGAGGTTGAGGAGGGCAGCGCCGTGCTCCCGGGCACGTTTCCTCCGCTGCCGGCCCGGCTGACGTCCAGTCTGTGGTGGCCACGCAGAGCGCTGGGCTCTCAGCCCCGGTGTTTTTTGCGTCTCAGGCACTAAAGCCACTGTGCAGCCGTGGCGGCGGCTGGTCCGAGGCTGTCAGAACCACTGAGGGGCTCTGCTCTTCTCCCCAAGACTTAGAATTCCGGCCTGGGCTTCGCTCAGCAGGCGCCGAGCAGGCTCTCTGCTCACTGACGTGCAGATGCGCTGAAGTGGGCTTGGCTGCGTCGTATTTCTGGGACTTGTATTTCATCCAGCCATAAAATTTTAAAGCATTTAATAGGACACAGTGAAAATATTTCAAAACTATGTCATCTAAGTCTTCCGTAATTGCAAACAAATGTCACTAAGCGAATCTCATCTTTGGCTACCTGGGGTCCTCACACACCATCAGACCGTCCTCAGTGTCCCCGCCTCGGGCCGCTGCCCTGGCCTCTGGGTGCTGAGGGAGCCTGTGAGTGGACGCCCTGGATTCTGGCCACACCCCGCTTCTTCCCGCATGTCGTCAGGGTGGCGCTGGGCAGAGGCCACGGTCCTGCCTCGCCAGGCCCATGCCGCTGACTCCCGGCCCCAACACCCTGAAACGGGTCGGGTCCCCTGTCTGCCTCCCGCCGACGGGCGGATATGCCTGCCGACCCAGGGTGGCCGCTTCCCAGAGTGTCCCCGCCGGCGCCCGGCCTCCTCGGCGGGTGGCCAGCTCACCCCCTCGCTGTCCCTCCAGGAAAGCGGGTGTGCGTGGGCGAAGGCCTGGCCCGCATGGAGCTGTTCCTGTTCCTGTCCGCCATCCTGCAGCACTTCAGCCTGAAGTCGCTCACTGCCCCGCAGGACATCGACCTCAGCCCCATCGCCATCGGGTTTGGCAAGATCCCGCCCCACTACAAGCTCTGTGTCATTCCCCGCACGTGAGCGGAGGGTACCCGCGCCCGGAGATCCCTCTGGGCCTCCAGGAGGGCGGCTGGGCCCTGGCACAGTGGGGGTCACACGCCAGACGGAATGTGAGAACAGAATCTCAGAATAGATTTATGAAACTATTAAATGAATAAAAGCAAACTGGTGTAGTCTGAGTTTGTGCTGGCGCCCCCAGCACCAGGTAAGACTGTCTCACGCCGGTGGACAACCCCGCTGCAACGCACAGGGGCATGCCTGTCACAGAGCCGACGTCCACTGAGGGGCCGGCAGGAAGGGGCGGGCATCCTGTTGCAGTTTTGGGGAAGGAGAAACACGCGGCAGCTTGTGGCCACACCAGGGAGCCCTCGGCTAAACCGTCCTTCTGCGCCACGCTTTCAGGTTAAACTATGTCGGCAAAGTCAGCAAAACACTTACTCCCTCCCAGCATGGCTGTGTGCGTGCACATCTGGAAGAAAATCTATGGGGACACGAACGCCGGGGCCTTAGATTGGTGCGATGAGGCCCTGAAAGTTGTGAAACAGCAGAGGGTTTGGGCAGCCACAGGAAGCCACTCCCAGCCCTGGGAAGGGCGCCCGGCGCTGGCCAGTGCCAGGGAGGCTGAGGGCCGGCGGCTGCACGCTCCACCCCCAGGGCCGCCTCTGGGAGCCAGAAGTGCCTGTGCCGGGCCATCTCCCCACCAGAGTAGCCTGAAGGACAACTGCCAGCCCGGCTCTTCACGCCAGGCGCGGCGCCAGGCGGGCTGGTCTTGGCACGCTGCTCTCCGGCCCGGTGGCACCGCTGACAGCCGGCAGCTGGACAAACTGCAGCCGCGGCAGGCAGGGGACGCCGGCGCCCAGTCAGGGGAGCGAGTGCCGCTTCCGGCACACAGGCGGGGCCTGGGTGGCCACTTAGAAAATTCCAGGAACAGGCACCTCCCTTCGCAGGGGACCAAGGGCAATGCTGCTTTGCCCCCGGCACCGGGCAGGGGCAGGCCAGGCTGAGGCTGCACTGGCCGCCGTCCAGCCTGGCAGCACGGCCGGGACCCTGCCGCGGGCTGTTCCTTGCTGTCCCTGCAGCTGCCTAGGTCAGACGCGCGCTCCCTCCCCGCTGGCGGTTCACCCCGGCCTCGTGTCTCTGCTCCACCTGACACCCGTGAGGGACGAGAATAGCAGCTTCATGGAATTATTTCATCAGCTGAGAGGATCAGGAAAAGCGGCACCGTCCCCAAAGGCATCCGAGCCCAGCACAGGCGTCTCTGGAGACCAGCCCCCGCCGCTTGCTCCTCTGGCCAGCCTGGCTGGACAGGTGGCGAGGGGGCCCCGCACCCCGCCGCGCGCATAGGGGCCCGGCCGATCCCACGCTGTCCACGAAGGGTCAGCCTGGAGCACGGCGTGTGGGCTCCCGGGCGGGCCTGGCGGGCTGCAGGCCGCCACTTGGACACCAGTGGTCCTCGTCCTGGGAGTGTGCCCTGCCGTGTCTGTTGGGGGGCGCACCCCACCTCCGAGACACTGGCCTTCTGAGAGTGTCCGTGCTCTGCCAGCCTGGCCAGGGAGGGCCGAGTTTCCAGGTGGAAGGAGCAAGCGTCTGTGTTGAGCCATGCTGGTCTCGTCGCCTGGCCTGGGGCCCCGGGCCACGTGGCCCGCACAGAATCCCGGCCCGCCCTCTCGGGGCCAGCTCCGTAGCCAGCTTGGCTTTGTCTGCCCTCTGCTTACTTCCACGCCGTCACACGCAGACGTGACCCGTGACCCGCCGTGCTCGGCGGCACATCGCTGAGGAGGGGGTGGGCGGAGGGACCTCTGCGGCTGCCCGGCCCAGGCTCCTCGGCAGGAGCAGGCCCCGCGCCGCTTGCCGACCGCCTGCCTTTGTGGTCTGAGGGGCACCGGCCTGGGGCCAGGCTCACGCCGAAGGAGAGGGCAGCGAGCCTGGAGGCTGCCCGCTGTGGTCAAGCGCCCGCGCCTGTGCTGGAGAAACCCCACCTCCCGCCAGGCTCAGGGACTCTGCCGTGAGGAAACCGAGGATGTTGTTCAGCGGCAGAGACTGAGCCGCTGAAGGAAAGGCAGGTCTGGAGCGCGCCGGGCAGCGGGAGGTCACGCAGGGGACACCTCCCCGAGGCAAACGCCAAGGGCTCCCAACAGCAGAAGCAGAGCCTGCAAGCCACCAAAGCAACGTTCAGTGAAGTGTTGTGTGTGCCAGGCAGAGCTGTTTCACAACAGCCTCCGCTCGGGTCTGGAGCCGGGCCCAGCGCTGGGCGGCGTGACGGGCGGCGGGCAGGCCTGGCTGGCCTGGCCACGCTGCTTGTTTTCCAGCAGTTGTTGTGCGGCAGTTTACACAAGCGGCGGGAGCCGGTCCAGGTTTCCTCACATCGGCCTTGGGGAACAGCCCGACCTCTGCTTGCCCCTCCACAGGGGCCAGCACGGACGAGCCGGGAGGCCAAGTCAGCCTTGCGACACGAGCTCGTCAGCGCCGCTGCCCGACGGACGGCCTGCCGGGGAGGTCTCCAGGCCGGTCTCCGTCGCGGCGTGCTCGCTATTTGTGAAGGTTTGTGTACTCATGCACGCAGAGCTGGGCACAGGCCAGAGGGCGGGGGCCGCAAGAGGCCCACCAGAGACAGAGTGGGGGCCTCGCTGCTGAGGGGAGCTGCGCCCAGGTCGAGGGGCCTGCGGTGCCCGGGGGTCCCCTCGGGGCCGGGGAGCCAAGTCGCAGAGGCGGCCACGGCCAGCTTGCAGGGCTGCGCTCCCACCCGCTGCACCACCAGGCAGGCCCCAGCTGCCGTCTATTTTAAGGAGAAAGATGAAGAAAGAGAACGAAGAGGCAATTAACAGACGCCCCGACACCGGTCCATCGCATCGGGCCGCCGAAGACCCGGGGCTTGTCTCCGAGCTCCGTCTGCGCGCGCCGTGTGGACACGCGTCCCACAACCCCGTACTCCGAGGGGGCCTGAGCCCCGGAGCCCAGCGCGTCCTGCAGCCAGAAAGGCGACTCTGGCCTCCCGTGGCCCAGCACTGGGCCATCACCGCCGCTGAAGCGTGAGCGCCAGCGGGCCGGGGAGGGACCCAGGGGCAGCAGACCGCCGCTGGCCCTCAGCCGTGGGTCTCAGTGGACCTGCCTGTTCTGCTCCCCACTCTGCCTCTGGGGTGTCCTCTCACCCCCCCACCTCTGGCCTGTACCCCAGTTCCTCCAAGCATCCATAAATACATCTTTAAAAAAAGACAATTTGTGCCTGGATCGTGCCGGACCCACAGCAAATGCGGGCAGACGGGGCGCTCACGCTCACCCGAGGCGGCGCAGGTCAAGGCAGCAAGACGGACCCCCTTTCAGGGAGCCCGAGAGTGCACAGGCACTCTCAGGACAACAGGGCAGGGTCGCCTGACGGAACAAGATTGCTGCCGCCTTTTCCAGAGTAACCAGCAAAACCACCTCTTGAAAGCCGTGTGCGGCCCTTCAGGACGTTTCGGTCCAAATAAAATGTTAGCACCTAAATCGCTCTGTGAATACTAAGCAGTTTTAATCATCTGCAAAAAGCTAACAAGCGCAAATAAGACCGTGAGGCCCACCCACTGCAGCTCTGGGAAGGGCAGGCCTGGGGGGGCTGCTGGCCTGGGGTGGGGGGAAGGGTGCACTGGCCTGGGGGGGCTGCTGGCCTGGGGTGGGGGGAAGGGTGCACCGGCCCTGGGGGGGGGCGGCGCGGGGCAGCCCAACGCTGGACACTAGAGGTAGGGGTGGTCACTACGCCGCGGACAGCGGTGGAGGGAGGGAGGGAGGGTTGACGGGCCTCTACGTTGTGTCCACACGGACAGGAGGTTTATATGGGAAGCAAACAGAAGCGCAAGTAAGACTAAAACGCCAGAAACGGGTAACTGGGGACTTTGGAAACGTGCCTGGTGCTGGGGCTTGAAATGGCTTTGACCATCGGCCATCACGCAGGGCCAAAGGGCTTCAAGTCAGGGAGTGGCGGGCCCCTTCCTACACAGGCAACTCACTCAAAAAGCTACACGTGGCCGGTGAGGCTACGATGGTCACTCCGGGCCAGTCCTGCCGACGCCCAAGTACACTCAGGAGCAGCCGCCGGGGCCGGACACCCTGCGCGCGAGGGGGGTGCGTGGCGGATGCGCCTGCTGGTGAGGCCCAGACGGCCACGGTGTGCAGCCAGGCTGCCTGCAGGCCCCACCTGCTGTCCGGTCCTGACCCGGCCTGGCCCCCCCCGCGGCCGCTGCTCCGAGGGCTGTAGGCGCACTCCCTGTTCAGACAGGCAGGGAGCTCGTGCCCCGCCCCCGTCCTGCACAAGGGCGCCTGTTCTTCCCCACACAAGCAGGCGCTGCCCTGCCACGGCCTCTTCCCAGTCCAGCTCTTGGGGCATTTCACCGTGAACCCAGTGAAGCCACAGCCCAGCCGCTCCGTCCTGGCAGGTGCGGTGGCCCAGCACTCTGGTGTCAGTGGAAACCGTCCCTCCGGGTCGCGGGCGACAGTGATGTCCCACGGGAGGCCTGCAGGGCTCTGCCCACCCCGCGGACGGGGGCCCTCGGGAGAAGGTGGCGCTGCAGAGTCGGGGGCTCCAAGCAGCACCGCCCCCTCGGCTGGGTGGCCACAGCTGAAGGCCAGGGCTGGACACTTGCCCCTGTGTGGCCAGGGCCTACGTGACACTCCTTGGTGACTGGGGGGGCAGTGGGCAGGGGACTGACAGGCCGCCGGGCCCCAGCCTCTGGCTGCTGGGGTTTGTGGGGCCGCGGCTCAGCCCTGCGTGAGAGCTGAACAGACAACCGCACGGGCCGGCAGCACGGGCCCGACGGGGGCCGGGGCGCTGTGGCGGGTCCCAGAGGCCAACAGCCAGAGACGCAGGTTGAGAGAAGACTGAGTCTCCTCGCTAGGGCTGAGGTCAGAGGCTGGGCCGGTTCTCCCGCCTCACGCTGCACCCCCACAGCACAGGCGGCGGGAGACAGCTGCAGCAGACAGTGCCTTTATTCACCAAGTGCCAGACTAAGCGCCACGGCAGGAGGGTCCCGCGCTAGCAGGGCACTGGGCCTCGCTGGGCAGGCGGCTCCGGGTCTTTCTCCTCTCTGATTCCGAGGGACTTGGGCGCGGCCTGCGAGGAGGAGGGTCCGAGCTGCCGTGCCCAGGACGCCCGCGGCACTCCCGGCCCGCCTGTTCCCACCTGCCCCACCGGCCTCCACCCCTCTGCCTGGCTGTGCCCGAGGGAGGCGTCTTTCCCGGAACTTCCTGGCCTCCGGGGCCTCCCTGCCCCCCGCGGCCCCCAGCCCCCTGCCTGCAGGCCCAACTCCGGCTCACGTCTTCTCCGAGGCCAGTCCCCTCCTCTCGCCTGCTCTGGGCTTGAACTGGGACCTGCACCCCCAGCATTTCCAGCTCCTCCTTCAGCCTGGGCGGACGAGGGGGTACGGGGGGGGGCACGCGAGGTTTTCAGAGAGGAGCCAGGAGGGGAGCAGACTCTGAGCCGCCCCCGGGCGGGGTGGGGGCACTAACCCACCTCTGCCTCTTCTGCCGCAGCTGCTGGCACTTCTGCCGCAGCTGCTCGTGGCGCTGGGCTGCGGCCTCCAGGAGCGCCTGGGACTTGCCGTTCTCCTCCTCGAGGAGCGTCCTGGGGGTGTCAGCACGGCTGCTCCCTCTCGCCCGCCCCTCGTGTCCTCCCCCGCCCCCCGCCCCGTTCTTACACCACGGCTGCTGCTTCCGGGCTGCGGAGGAAGAGCCCCTCGGAGACGGTGGCGGGGCCCTGGGCCCCCAGCTGGGAGCGCAGCCGGCGCTTCACGTCTTCCAGCTTCGCCTCCACCAGCTTCTCTGCAGCAGGGAGGGCGGAGGGCAGGTGAGGAGCGGGGAGGCGCGGGCCGCAGGCCCCCGGCCCCCGCCTACCTTCCTTGAGCAGCTGCTCCTTGCTGCCGTCCAAGGCGTCCATCTCCCCGACCAGTCGCTCTGGCCTCTGGGGGCAGGAGGAGGCCAGTGTCTCTCCCAGCTCCCCAGGTGCCAGAGGAGCCTGCCCGGGCCAGGCCTCTGCTCTTCCGGCCTGCGCCTCCTGACGTGGCCCCCGGCGGCAGTCAGGTCAGCTGCGGAGGCTCAACGACCAGGGCTGAGCCAACGCGGGGCGCAGGTGCCCACCTGGTCTCAGCCCGGCGGGAAGCATTTGCCGGGGGGCATCTTGGGAGAAGTACAGGTCAGACTGTTTCTCTGGAGCCGGCTCCCAGCCAGCACGGAGCGCCTGCCTGCCGGCCCCCCTGACCTTCACGCCTGCTTGGCCTCAGTGGCAAAAGCCCGTGTATTTGGCCCCACCATGGCCATGGGCCTCTGGGTGGATGGCCCCCCTTGTTCATGAAGGTGTCTGGCCCACTGCAAGGCTCCGGGAGGTCGGCGGGGCGGCCGGGGGGGGGGGGGGGGTGCCTAGCAGCGCAGTACAGAGGGGTCCTGAGGTGCTCTCCTCAGCACAGTGTATGGGGGGTCTGGAGGGGCTCCCGGCCGTGGCCCAGGCTGCTGAGGCAGCAGGAGCCCGTGACTCACGTGGAATTCCCAGAGGTCCTTGTGCTGCCCCATCAAATCCTCCAGCTGCTCCTCGAAGTCCAACCTGGGACCAGCCGCACCGTGTGAGGCCCGTGCATGGAGCCTCCCCCGTGCGCCGGCCCACTTGGGTCCTGCAAGCTCTCTGCTGGGAGCACCTGTGCCACCCTGAGTGCCCAAGCCCTCACCTCTGGAGAGCACCCTGCTGCAGCCCCCGGCCTCGGCACAGGCTTTACCTCAGCTGCCTCTGTTTGCTCTTCTCCTCCTCAATCTGGGAGTTCAGGGCAGAAATCCGGGCCTTGCACCCCTGCAGCACACTGTGCTTCCTGGGGGGTTGGAGGGGGCGCACATCTGCCTTGAGGCACCGTTCCCTGGCCTGTGCCCCGGCAGAGCGGACGAGGCCTCTACCTCTTGGCCTGGGACTGAGGCCCCTCTGTGACTTCACCGGGCAGGAGCCCCAAGCAGAGGCTCACACGCACCATCACCCTCCCGGAGCTCCACCCTGGTGTGCTGCGGCTCAGGGCCTCTGTTCAGAGTAGGCTGAGTGGGCATCTGGAGGTGGACGGATGGACACACAGACCCTGGCAGGGGGCAGTGGGCGTGGGCAAGACACTGGCTCATGCAGCAACGCCGGGCAGACAAACAGAAGCATGCGCAGCCCAGGAGTGAGGTGCCGCAGCTGGGGTGAGGCAGTAAAAGGCTTAAAAAGCAGATGGAAAGATTCGCGCCCTAACACAGGGAGGTTTGTCCCTGCGAAAGTAACCTCAGCCCCATTCCTCTCCCTGCTGGGGCCAAGTAATCTCCTGTGCGTGCCCCGAGCAAAGGCAGCGTGAATGCGGCGTGGCAGGAGCTTACCTCTGCGCCTCACCTTCCTTCCCCTGGCAGTGGAGCCGGAGAATCCTCAGGGTCTCTGCGGATGGAGGGACCAGGGCCCACGAGAGCTCGTGAGGCATCAGTGTGGGGTAACAGCCCGAAGCCCACCACCCGCACGTCTGATGGGGTAGAGTCGTGCGTGCAGGGCCGGGTCACAGGTGGATGCAGCCGGGGCGTTTC